CCCCGGGGGGATATCTAACCTGGGGCCGCTTGGGCCCCTCAAAATGGAGGGGGGGGGCACAAGAACAGAAAAAATTAACGAATCGGCACCGGATGTGTACTAGCCGGCCGCTCTCCGGTTGATCGGGAGTTTCTGTATATAGAAGAAGGTGCGTGCGCCTGTTGGCGAGGGTGAGGATGAGGTTCCTCCTCCTCCTCCTCCTCCTCCTCCTCCTCCTCCATCCTTCTCTTGCCTCCGTCTGTCCTCCTCCACCCCGCAGCTCCATCATCTTCTCCTCCTCCTCCTCCTCCTCCTCCTCCTCCTCCTCCTCCTCCTCCTCCTCCTCCTCCTCCTCCTCATTCCTCCTCTGGGCACCTCCCCCGGGGCGCGGATCCACCGGATCTGTCCGGATCTGTCCGGAAACGGTGCCGGAGGCCGCTCTGGGCTCCTCTGGGCACCTCCCCCGGGGCCGGTTGTTGTGAGGATGTCTCAAGCGAGGGCGCCGGTTTGGGATTCTCACCGTCGGCGGATCCACCGATCCAGCGGATCTGTCCGGAAACGTGCCGGAGGCCGCTCTGGGCTCCTCTGGGCACCTCCCCCGGGGCCGGTTTTGTGAGGATGTCTCAAGCGAGGGCGCCGGTTTGGGATTCGTCGACGGATCCACCGGATCCAGCGGATCTGTCCGGAAACGGTGCCGGAGGCCGCTCTGGGCTCCTTGGGCACCTCCCCCGGGGCCGGTTTTGTGAGGACCCTGAGGTCCTTAAGATCGGAAGCTTTCGATCTTAGACAAGAGGATCGATATAATGATCCTTTTGGTGTGTTAGGATCAATAATTCGATCCTGTAGTTAAGTTGTCGTGCGTTGCGGTGTGATCGTTTGAAAAAAAAAAGAAAATCCTCCTCTCTCTCTCTCTCTCTCCTCCTTTACTCACATATTGCACCAGTAATTAGCACAACATACAAACACCACGAAGACACATAGCGCATCCGTGCATCGTGGTTGAACATTGGCACTCGGCCTGCCCCGACTGGTGATCCGATTGCATCGCACGGGCTGTCCCTGATCTGCTTGTGCTTCGTGTCCTTTGGATATTCGAGGGCAGACCACCCCCGCCACCCTTGCCCCAACCTATCTGGTCCACCGTTGCCATTTGGGCTGTTCAGCGTGGGTCAAGCCAGCGATTGCATTCGCTTGTGGACTTTCAGTCGGCGGGCGATGTCGACAGACGCGGAGAAGCTCGGTCGCTGCTTGGTTGACTTCGCGAAGGCGCCCTCCTTTTTCAAGGGCTCGGGTAAATCGGGGGGTTTCGGCAAGTCCTCCAACATCCTGAGTCAGCATCGCATGTGGTCCGAGATATCTAAGGTGAGGCCTTCGCTGAGTTGGAGCAAGCCCGAGGCGACGGAGGCGATGGGGGTCGTGCTCAAGGAGTGCAAGGAAAATTGGAAGGAGTTCAATAAGGATGACGAGACGGATTGGCTCAGCAAGATGCCGAATCGTTTCAAGTTCGTTTGCAGGGCCATCAACCAGGCGAGGCTCAAGAAGACGAGCAAGTGGGTCCACAAGCTCGGTCTCGCCGCCGCTTCCAAGGAGGGCGCCGCGGCGCAGGCTACAGACGTTGACGGGGATGCGCAAGCCGAGGATGGCGAGGATGAGCCCGTCGAGGACGAAGGAGAGGAAGAGGACGAGGCCGAGAAGAACGACGAGGACGACCTACCGCTTTTGCAGCTCTCCGAGGCTGCTGTCAAGGAGCCCGACTCCGACAAGCAGCAGGGCGTCGACGGCGCCGTTGGCGCGTCCGAGGTGGGGGCCCAAAACGTACTCAGAACAGTGGAGCGGTTGAGTAGGGCTTCGAGCGTGGGTGGTGGTGAATGTGGTAGGTGTTGAGGGAATGCCTCCCCCGCTCACCACCACCCGCGCTCGAAGCCCGACTGTGTCGCCACTGGCATGCGTGCGTTTTGGGCCCAGTAAGGGCGCTGGCGCGCCAGCTTCGTCCGCCGACGGCCAACATTACGCCCAGAAGGACAGCCTCAAGCATGAGGGCAAGTACGTATTGGGCTTCTGCCGCGAGCACATGAAGGCGTGGAGGTGCATGCCAGGTCAGAAAAAGGAGTTCACGAAGGACGTCAAGAAGCCAGAGGGGTCCACGCCAGAGGACCCAACCTTGGCAACGTGGTCCGATGGTTTCAAAGCTCGCATCTTCCAGTTGAGTTGCGCCGAGTTCGACGCGATCGAGGACACCGAAAAGGTTAGCACCTCCAGGGGTACGTATGTCTGGGAGACTCGCCCGACGGAGAACTCGCGCATCTGGGTGAGCAGGCCTACCTCGAAGAACAACGTGTTCTGCGTCCACTCCAAGGTCGACGGGTCTCAGAGCCAGATGTGCCAGGTCAAGGCGACGGCGTTCGGGGATGACGAGGAGCAGATCAAGGAAGCCGAGAAGCTCGCAGTGAAGCTCGCTCAGAAGTTGGCGTCCACGGAGGACACAACCAAGGATATGCTCAAGGAGCTCAGGGACAAGGCGCTGCCCACGCCCACGAAGGTCAAGAGGCTGGCGAGCCAGACCGACGGCAAGCAACCAGCACCGAAGAAGGCCAAGAGCAAGGCGAAGGCCATTCCACCCTGTCAGGCGGAGGCCGCGCAGCCCGTCGTGCCAGCCGAGCCCGTCACGCCAACGCCCGACGAGGGGAAGATCACGGATTTGCCAGGGAGCGCCTCGGCCAACGAGTCCGAGTCCGAGAAGGCGGCCATCTCACGCAAGTGCGGGTTCTGCGGCGAGGAGCCCACGTGCCTGGACATCTTCAAGAAGTACAACTTGTGCACGGCGTGCTACAATGAAAATATATTTGGTTGAGGCCTCGAGCGAACGTCGCCGTTCGTAGTAGCTCGGATCGGCGCGAGCGCCGATGCTGCTGGCGGCTCAGCCAGCTACGCGCCCAGAGGCATCTACAGTCATCCCCCTTTCTCGCCACCTCTCCCTCCGTGTCCGAATCCCGTCCAGAGTTATCATCCCTTCTCCTCCTCCTCCTTCCTCCTGCTCGCCTTCCTCGTCTGCTCTAGGGTTCAAGCTTCCTGGATCCTCAACACGGTCCTTATGCAATACGTGATTTCGACGTTCCTGAGGGGCTCTTGAGGGTTCCAGAGGCCCCGAGGAGCTTCGTAGGAATTCCAATGGTCTCGAGGGGCTTCGGGGTGATCTAAATGACCCCAGCTCCTGGCTCGCTCCATCCTCCTCCTCCTTCTGGCCCCTGGCGGTCCCGACAGGACGTGGGAAAGGAACGATTTTCCATGGCGCGATTGCCCATGCCAGCCGCGCCCCAGCGGAGAATCACAAGGGGCAGGGGTGCGGGGGTATATTATTGGCTATGGCCTGCCACTCCGCAACGCCCCAGAAAATGAATGGAAGCAGGAGGAGGGAGGAGGAGAAGGACGAGGAGGAGGAGGGGGAGGCGGAGGGAGAAGGAGGTGGAGGGTAACTAGGAAGAAGAGGTGGAGGAGTACGTCGAAGAGAACTGATCTGCCGTGGTCTATGATGACAGAACGTCTCAGCAGTCGTCAGCCTCGTCTCACCCTCGGCCGTAGCCGTTTTGGCTCGAGATTCGTGTGCGATCACGTCTGGCTTCAGTTCGGTCCGTTTCCAAAGATGACCGACTGCGTCGGCGCATCAGAGGGCCCGCCGTCATGGGCGAACCAATTGATGAGCATTCAAGTCACGGACTCGGTGCAAGGTGCGACCTCGGCAGCCGAAGCACTGCTCAGAGCCGCGGCGATGGACGCTTCGAACATGATTCCAGAGGAGAAGTACAGGAAGGAGGACGAGTCGGCACCGCCGACGCCCATCGAGGAAATGCTGGCCAAAGCGTCCGAGGAGAAGAAATTGCCGACGGAAGCGAACAGCGAATTCAACCGGTGGTGGGCGAAGGAGCTGGCGGCGAACACGAAGCTCAAGCAAGATTACAAGCTCGTCGGCAGGGGTTACGAGGCGCAGCGGAAATTCAAAATTGATTGGGCGGGCCAGCGATCTGTGCAGATGAAGGAGGAGCGCACGAAGACCTCCGAGTACAGGCAGGTCGATGGCATGAGGGGTGAGTACTTGCCGCTCTCGATACACGTCAAGAAGGAGGGCAACGATGCGATGGCATTCATTGCGGTGCAGAACTACGTGAAGAATATTGCGACCTTTGTTGCCCAAGGCAAGACCTACAAAGGACGGCCCTGGATTGTCTTCGACAAGCTGTACAACCGCGTCAAGTTTTTGAGGATCCAGGAGTACTTTGACGATTCGAACCAGGAGTCCTGGTCTAAGACCACTCATTTGCTAGATGAAGGTTCCCGCATGCACTCGGAGGCGCCGTCTCGGAGCCAGGCCACGGTAGCTTCGTCGGCATCTGCGGGTCGGGCACCAGCAGGCCCAGCTGCACCTCCAGCTCTCCCAGCGCCTCCAGCGCCTGAAGCAGCTGCAACCGGCCCCCCAGAGGTTCCCGAGCAGAAGAGGAGGAGGGTCGGGACGGCCACCGCGGCGAAGTCCGAAGCCAAGGGCCTCGGCAAGGTCAAAGCGCAGCCCGAGGACGACTCTCGTGCAGCAGCAAAGTCCTTCAAGACGGTCGTTGCGGAGGCGATGAAGATCAAGCAGAAGATGGAGAAGGTCAGCACGGCGGCGTCGGACCTCCTTCAGGCCATCACCACGCAAAAGGAGTGGCATTGGGCTAACAACGACGCCAACCTGAAGGACCTGACCACGCAGCAACTCCTTCTCGGCAAACTCAAGACGAAGGACAAGTTCTGGTGCGCGTGGACCGTGCAGTCTGACTGGGCCAAGAATGTCAAATTGACATACTCCGAGCCGACCATCGAGTCGAACTTGCAGGAGGGCCTCCCAGCGATGCAGACAGCCATCAACGATCTGAACGCCCAGATCACACTGTTGAAGGACATGCACCAGGCCAGGCAGAATATGATGATCAAGCGCTCCGCGGACTAGCGGCAATGCCAGGACTACGTCGAGGGCTTCTTGTACTGATCGGGGGATGCAGTACTCATGACGGTCCAAGCTATCCTTCAGCGGCTCGCGGTGCCACCGCATGCCTGCCCAAGCTCCTCTGTGCGTATCTGTCTGGCTTGAGGGGCGAATGATGAGGAGGAGGAGTAGGAGGAAGAATGGGGGAGGAAGGGAGGGAAGGGAGGGAGGGCGAGGGAGAGAGGATCCCCAAGAGAGAACGCACGCCAGTTCCTGCATCCGCTGCTGAGAATCACCCTCGGCAGGGAGGGCGCCGCCAAAGTACCAGAGATATCGGCGTCGCTGCAAAGCGAGTTTGATAAATGCAACGTTGGATGCTGCCGTTTGGTGTTCCCGCCTATATCTACAAGAATTTTTCAGAAACAAAGCGTTTGACAACTTCTGAAAACTCCTGAAAACTCAACGCGCTGAAAACTCCTGAAAACTCGTGAAAACTTAGTTTTCACTGTGACTGTCGCTAAAAACAATAGTTTTCATGAGTTTTCAAGGTCACCCTGAAAACTCCTGAAAACTTGAAAACTCCTGAAAACTCTTGAAAACTACCGAGTGCTCGTCGCCGTCTCGCTCTTACTATAGATCAGGATGTCTGCTCTCAACGAAGTAACATTGGATGCGTCATGAGTATCTGAACGCCTGCTGCGGTGTGTCACGCGCCCGTTTCGCTGATGCACCTTCTCTTCAGCCCCCTCGCCTCACGGTAGCAATGACAGAAGTCGAAGAGCGGGCGCTGGAAATCAATGGGGGGTACGAGAACACAAGGGGCATGCGAGACAGAAGGGGCCAGGGGAATTCAACGGGGGTACGAAAACGGAGGTTTGGCTATTCGAGGTCGCTCTTCAGGGGGCGCTATTTCTGATCGCTCTTCTGGGATTGCTATTTCTGGTCGTTCACCCTTGGAAGCTGTTCGTGGTCCGCCTTTCTGGGGTACGTGGCTCGCCTATCTGGAGCGTGCCCCCTCCCCTCCTCGTCCTCTGGCCCACCCCCCTGGTAGAAACCAAGCCTAACACGTCGCGCAACTCGGGCATGCTGTTTTGGAGGGGTAGGCCGAGAAATACCCGCTACGCCCAAAAAGAAACGCACGCCCACCCAGAGAAAAAAAGAAAACATAACAAACGACAACATCAACATCCAACGCAATACCCCTAGCCGTTTTGGCTCTGGCTCAAGCCCTTCGCTCAAGCTATCAGCTGGTGGCACGCCTGGTTGGGACGACGACGTCCCGCAGTGGGACAATTTCGATGATCTGACCAATGATGCTTCCGACGCTGAGGATGATGGCGACAAAGTAGATTGGGACGCGATCTCGCAAACAGAGGCTGGCCAGTCTCTCGCAGACTTGCTGCTCCAACTCAAGCACGAAGGGCACATTAGCTCCAAGCAGTGCTGCGTCATTGCGTTTTGGGCGGAAAAGAGTGGATCAATTGGGCCAGTGTCATCTTTCTCGTTGCGCCCCGACGCTCAGAGCGGGCACTACCAAAGAAAAATCGACAAGGTACTGTCAGATAACCTCGCAGAAGATGGATCTTTATATCAGCTATGGCTTCCGATGAACAGACGGTCCGACGCGAGTCGAGTTGTGGAGCCGCAACCAGTGATACCTGTGCACGAGCGGTTGTGGGATGAAATGTCGGGCTCACCTGAAATTGAACAGCAGCTTCGAGAAATGGTTGATCAGAATTTGCTACCTCCATCGTACTGGTCGCACCCCGTGGTGGTCTCTCATGCGGGCCCCAACCCTGTGCATCCAGTGGCGTTGTACCTCGATGGTGTACCTACCCATCGCCACGATGGGGTCGTCGCGGTCTATGCCTTCTCACTCGTTTCGAAAGTTCGCCATTTGGTGGCCTGCCTACGGAAGCAGGACATCTGCAAATGTGGATGTCGAGGCTGGTGTTCTGTGTACGTGCTGCAGCTCTGGCTACTTTGGTGCGCCAACGCTATGGCGTGTGGGCACTGGCCTGATCGGCGGCACGACCAGAAAGCATTCTTGGATGACAGCGACTCCGTCCGTGCGGCCTTTGCTGGATCAGCTGCCCCTGCCATTTGTGCTATCATGTTTCTAAAGGGCGACCTGATGGAGTATTGCACGACTTGGGGATTACCATCGACAGGTACCTACCTATTTGGCTGTCCTTTCTGTCATTGGCCTGGCGACGACAGTCTCGATGATGGAGCCGGCTTGTCTGCAGTAGGAGTTGGGTGGTTGGAACGAACTTTCGACGACTACCTTCAGGCATGTGACCAGTGCGAAATCAGAGTTAACTTATCTCACGAACAGCTGATGTTGGTTCGGGGGGCGCTCCGATATGAAAGGAGTTCCACGGGCCCGCGCGGCCGAGCACTCCGACGAGACTTGCCGTCGCTGGGACTCAATAAAGGTGACAGGTTAGAGACGACGCCAGACCGCCCAGATATAACGTGGATCGACGACATCAGCGGGCCAGTCGACGACGTCGTATTCTGGAGGAGGTCTCGTGAGACGATCGCCAGGAGGCGATGTCCTCTGTTTAGCGCCCAGCTGGGCATAACGCCTCAACGATGTTTCGGCTTAGACTGGTTGCACGTCTGCAGCTTGGGCGTGTTCAAATTCTTCTGTGCATTCTTTGTTCGAAGCTTGTTCCAAGCAAATGCTTGGGGGTCACCTCATACAACACAAGATGCCCGAATCAAATTCAGTGTGCAAATTATGCGTGATGAGCTCTTCAGGTGGTACAAGAAGGAGCGCGACGATGGCCGTGAGCATACACAAGTACAGAATCTCACAGCTTCGATGTTCGGCAAAAAGAAAGCGGAGCTCAATCTGCATGGGAGTGAAACGAATAGTTTTTTGTTGTTCT